TTTGAGAGGTTTTTGCTATAGGGCATGTGCGCTCGCCAGAGAGACAGAGAAACAGAAAGCGAGAAATCACCCCCCAGGAGGGATGGCCACACCGCAATCCCGTCTCCTCCATTCTCCTCTCGGGATCTTGTGCATGCACACACACGCGCCCGGCGTGAGTTTTAAGCCACCGGGTCCGGGACGTGAACCGTGGTTGACTACGTGGGAGTCCAGCGACATAGCCATTACACTAACGGCTGGTCCCCCCACACTGAATTTTTTTAAATGCATAGTGATACTCAAAGTAGATAAATAAGTAAGAGACAGAAAGGGGTAAGTTTGCCTTTACAGAATAATGCCAGATAATATATACAGAAAAAATAGTAGACAGGGCCTGCACGTGGTGTGGTGGTTGAGGTGCTGGACTCCCACATGGCTGACCATGGTTCAAGTCCTGGACCTAACAGCTCGCCTTCTCACTTTCTCTCTCTCTCTCTTTCTGTCCCTCTCTGGTCAAATTAAAAAAATTTAAATAATTTTAAAAAATAAATGAAAATAATTATTTTAAGAAAAGAAAAGAGGGATCCAACAGGTGATATGGTGGTTGGGGCTCTGGACTCCCACATCACCGACCACAGTTCAAGTCCTAAATCTAGTGGCTTGCGTTCTCACTCTCCCTTTCTCTCTGTCTGTCTCTCTCAGGTCAAAATTGAAGAATAATGTTAATAAATAAAATTTAAAATAATAAAATCTTTAAAAAAGAAAAACTGTGGACATATTAATGTAGTGACATAGTTAAGGAGGCAGGCTCCCACAGGACCAGCTGCACGGGTTGAGTCCTGGACTTGGTGGCTTGAAAACATGCTGACACGTGTACGTACGTGTCCAAAATCGTGAAAGGAAGGAGAAGTGGAGGAGAAAGGGTTGCAGCATGACTATCCCCCAAGCGGAGGGGATGCTTTCTCACTTTCCCTCTCTCTCCTTGTCTTCCTTCAGTGATCACACACACCCTCAGGCAAATTAGAAAGAAAGGAATAATGGTAGAATTAGAAACAGAGCCTTCATTATAAGTAATTCTGGCAGTTACATCAATGGATGTTCACAGCATTAGAAGATGTCCACACGGTCTCCAAATATGGCCCCAGAGATTACTGGATAAGTACAAGTGTCTTTACATAGGACAAATCCAGCAGTCACCACTATCAGTTACCAACTTAGCCTCACCAGCAGTGCCAAGATATTATATGTTTCTTGATTGGAAACAGAAAGTATACAGATTTAATTATCTAGTAATCATTGGGTTGTCGGAGAAATTATGCGCTTTTTTAAAGAGGATTTTTGCCTTAGGGCACATGTGCTCATCAGAGAGACAGAGGCAGTGAGAAAGAAAGTGAGAAATCACCCTCCAGGGAGGATGGCCATGCCACAATCCCTTCCCCTCCATTCTCCTCCTAGGATCTTGGGCATGCATGCACATGCTCCCAGCATGATCTTCAATCTAGTGGGTCTGGGACTCGAGCCATGGTTGGCCATGCGGGAGTCCAGGCATGTAACCGCTACGCCGTCTGCTGGCCCCAGTGATGCATTTCTACATTTAAAAATATACGTCATGACTTTCCTGACAACCCAATATATTCTTGACAAAAATTGTTTCATCTGAACATAAATCGTGAAGAAATGACAAGATAGAGAACAGCAGTTAGCGCAATGGCTATGTTGATGGACTCCCATGTAGTTGACCGTGGTTCACATCCCGGACCCGGTGGCTTAAAAAACTCACGCTGGGCACGTGTGCGTGCGTGCCCAAGATCCCGAGAGGAGAAGGGATTGCGGTGTGGCCATCCTCCCTGGGGGGTGATTTCTCGCTTTCTGTCTGTCTGTCTGTCTCTGTCTTTCCGGCGAGTGCACAGGCCCTATAGCAAAAACCTCTCCAAAAAATAAATAGGTAGCACTTTGTCCTATGACTAGAAATCCCAGTCCCGCTGTCTCTGGGACCATGAGATTTATTTTTTCCTTCTGATCACATTACATGACATACACAACCTTGTGTCTTCTGGCGTTTTACAGGCATGTGCTTTTGGTGCAGTGGTTTGGAGCTGTCCATGAAGTAACAAATTTCTGTTTTGTTTTGCTTTCCTCTTTATGAAGACCTGAAGATGAGATATTTCTAAATACACTTTCTAGAGGTTACTTGGTGGGAAAGGACCCCGATGCTGCCCTTTTCTACAGAGAAGAAGGAAACAAAAAGTTTCAAGAGAAGGATTATGAAGGAGCTGCAGTGCTGTACTCTAAGGTAAAGCTCGCCCAGCCTAGAACTGAACAATGCATACAGAAGCCTTCAAAAGGAGGAGCTGTACTGCTAAACTGCGTCGCCATTGTTAACCTTTGTCTGTAACTCTTGGATTAGGTTTGAAAAAGAAAACTGGCAGTTGGTTGTATCCTGAAACAAAGGCTAGTTAAAATGTCCTGAATTTCATCAAGACACTTCTAATCTCACCTTCCATCAGACACCTTGTAGCAAGGCTTCCAAGCCTGCTTGCTCACGTCTGTCAGAACTCATTGAGTTGTGTGCCATTTTTGTCTGAATGACTAATGAAGCTGTTAGCTCATAGTCCCGATTTAGAATACAGCTGGATTTTAGTTAGCCACAGTGTTAGAGTACACCAGTATGGAATAGATTATGAAAAAGGAAAGGAGCTTATTAGCCAAAGCACAAGTTGAACTCCA